TGTTTAACTAAATGTTAAGTTTTGTAATTATTTCAGTAATTCTACCTTTTTCAGGTTTTGGGATGTTGTAATAAACCCTCGTTTCATTCGATCGATACTTTCTTAAAAGCTTACTATGTTAAGAAACAGTTATTACTAAGAGCATTTCATTAAGATTTCGAGCGAAAAGTTAACGGTTTGTCTGCCTAGATTTATTTGGTTAAAAAATTTGATTAGAAATTAATTAAGAAAGAAATATAGTATATGTTCCGTTTACTTTAGAAAATCATCTCTGTGAATTTTTTAGATTCATAAACATACATACATTGTCCATCCASTCAGTGTTTCAATTGTTATTGGACAACATGCTTTAAAACTTTTTAATAAGCCATTATGTATTTATTTTTTAGTAAAGTTTATTTTACCTTGAAGTTTGCAATTATTTCGATTATATACAGCATATTCCAATACTTTAATTTAAAAACTTACTCACTTAGTCTATAATATAATAATTATATATGATTTGGAGTGTTTATTCATTTTAATTATAATATTATATTCCATACTCGCATTTGCGGGTAATGAAATTACGTATATATGGTTTCTTGTTTCTCAAATATTACCGCTAGATATATGCACATATGAATATTTTATTTAAAAGTATTATTATTGTAAGCACACGTAAGTGTATATAATATTTTTTTTCGTTTGCTAAATATTTACGTATTTTAGTTGGTTCTATTATCGTAAACTGTTGTGTAGTTTGTTATGTGTTTTTCTTTACAATTTAGTGCTGAAGTCTTAAAAAATTATAAAAGAAAGAAATTCATTGTAGATTGAAACCAATCGGAAGCGAAAGATAAAATAACAAACAAGAAGGGAAAAGTAATTTACGAGCGATCTGAGGTGGGACTTATTCAGGGTTAGGAATGGTTTATCTCATTTTGCAAGAAATAAAAAGGTATATAGCTTAGGTATACAAGTTTTTGTTCACATATCCTCAAAATTTATGTGAAAGATGCACAAAACTGATGAGTTTTCTTTTTTTTTACATGAAATTTTTTTTTTTATTATATGTAGTAAAAACTTTCACTTCTTTGACTCAAGTATACACTATTTTTTATTTAAAACATTTATTAGTTCTTCTTATATTGCCTTATTATCGAAAAACTGTATCAATCAAAATATATCAAGTCAAAATACCACTGTTCGTTTTAAAGTCGTTAACCCACAAAACAGATGAAAAACGTTTGTAAGCTGTGTTTTTGATTTGAAGTACTTTGTTGTGTCTTTGTTTGTATTTTTGGTGAAAACTTATCATAATAATGTACGTTTTATGAGGTTTTTAGATCGAAAGTTAGGGTTTCTTGATAATAGGACAATATAATGAAAACGAAAGAATATTCTAAAGAAAGAAATACAGTATATTTGGGACCAAATACTTTCATTGGATTTGTTTCCACCAAATTGCGCGAAAATGTTGTTTTGTTTTTTTTTTTTTTGTACAAGGTAAAAACAAAAATTCAGACATTTAGGTCTGTGAATTCTGCACATAAAGTATCAGGTTGTGTGAAAAAAAATTGGTAGACAAAAGTTATAGATCTCTTCATTATCTACATCATTTTATAATAATTTTTTTCTGTGGGACTCGTTCTTTCGCAAGCACTCGGGATAAAGCGTTCCCTACTTTAAATCAAGCCACACTCCTTATTGTTATCTATTTTATCTTTCTAGCCGATGGGTTTCAATGTACTGTATTTGTTTTCTTTTTTCAAAAATTATTTTTCCTGGTATATTAAATCTTACATATATTTGTTCATTCCTGCAACACCCAAACGAATGCATTGAATAGGTATGCATATATAAATCGATGTTTGCTCCAAAAATAAGTTAGTGAAAACCGCATTTCTCACTAATCGAATAGAAGAAAAYAACTAAAACATGATCAATATTTCAATTAGAAATATTAACTTCAGAGCAAATCACCATTCAGCGATAATTTACATCTAATAATTTTTCGTAAATAGCAAGGTCTTCTGTTTAAATATATGTTGACGAAATATATTCATCAAACTTGGCTTTAATTCATAATATTATTGTTGGTATTATGCATATTATTATTATTAGCATTATAATGGAAAATAATATATCATATATTCCTCAACTGAGCCTGGAAAAAAGGATATGATGGTATTTCCAATTACACGATTTTCTAGGTCAAAAACCGCTTTATATTTACTACTTTCACGAATTTCTTTGAACGAGAATTGTGATAAATTGTGTTGTTGCAATCCAAGGCATATTGGACAAGTGAAATATAGTCTGTGGAACATATTGGGAGAAAAACAGGATTTCTCTTTTTGGTATGATGCACTGTGTTTAACACATAACAATCTAAAGTAATGTTAAATATTCACATATTTGCTTAAGATTTATAAAAAAATCCGTTTATTATACAAAATGAATTTGAAAACTTTATAAGACTGAAGAAATATTTTTTAAAAAATATAAAAATTTTCATTTCTTATGAACATTTATTTACTTCGGTTGCACCAAATCTACATAAAATATCCTTCACAAATATAAAAGAGTGTGGCAGTTATATGCTATAGCGGCCCGACATCAACGGTTTCGATAAATTAGCAGTTTTGTGGGGAGAAAAGGACATACAAATTTTTTTTTATCAATATTTCAAAAACTGAAGGACTAGTATGCTTATATACAGACAAACAGACGGGCAGACGACATAGCGACATTAACTCAGCGGGTTACGCTGATTAATCTTAGTATACCCTGTTTATGGTTCTTATACTTATTTAAAAATTATCTAAGCGAGCGGAACTATGCATTAATGCATTTATTCATAATTTTGTAAGTTCATGTTTTTTACCTTAATCAAAATATTCGCCTTTTCTATTATTAAGGTAGGAGTGTACATATAAACAAACAGATTATCTTCGTAATTTTTCAATATGTGTGTTTCTGCATTACAAATTATATTTCTATTTCCCCGCAACCAGTGCTCTGTATGTGGAATAATAAAATAATGTCATTTCAAAATCCTTTAAAAATATTTAAAGAGCACTTTTATAGTTTCGGATCTTCTTCATCTGGTTTAAAACAATGCTAAATTGATAAGTTAGATAAGCAAGCATGTCTTTATACATTAAATGTAAATCGTATTAAGACATTATATAAATGGTAAAAAAAATTTTATAGTTGTAATTCATTATAATGTTTGATAAATAAGAAACTAATCTGTAAAAACTAAATTAATAAACAGAAAGAAAAATGAAAAGCAGGTTATTTTTTTAAATATATATTTTCTTAAATGCATATACTTGCACTCATTTCTTTCATTGAATCAAACGATTTCTGACTGTATCATTTCTATCTCACAAAGAAAAATATACAATTTTACAAATCGTGTAACAATTAGTTAACAAAACTAATTTTGGTGGTATCCTATCATTTAAAGGTAATTAAGACTTTCAAGATACCTTCAAAATACTAAACTTAACAGAAAACAAATTTAAAAGTAACACGAATTATTTATATAATCAAATAAGTGAACATATTTCAATTACAGTTAGTTAAAGCAATATAAAAATGGAAGAAAAGTATGCAGCCCATGTAGTATACCCAGTTTTTCTTATATACATATGAGATAAAAAGTATCAAAAGTAATAGGAAATAATCGTATATGATTACAATTAATAATTATGAAGTTGCAAAGTCCGTAACATAGTAAAAGGTGATGGCTCAGTTAATTAGTATTTTCTTACACAAATTCCGATCGTGTGTAAATTGCTGTGGAATCAATCAAATCAGTTAGTTTCAATGAGTCATATATGTATGTGTGCTCATATATTATTTAAATCACATAACGCAATTCAACGTAATGGAGGCTTTGTTGCTCTTCTTGTTACAAATATAATATAAGTGTTTCCTCGATCAACTTAATTCTGTTACGTATATTACACTTATTAATTAATTTATTTTGCAAATTTTAGTTTCAACTATTGGTAAGACGATTAATACAGTGGCTTTGTGTTTTATTCTATATTATTATTTTAGTAAATAATATATTTGTATGCAAACAGTACATTTATAATGGGCTTAAATCTAATACGTATATTGAGTCATTCCTTGCTAACCACTTGCATTTCGTATTGTTTTGATACTACATTATTAACACACTTACTGCTGCATCTTCACCCAATTAATCATTTAAGTGGAGTTGCAGTATAATACATAGCTTTATTTATCGTATATATGTATGTAACTGTGTTATTTCTGTAGGAAAGAAAAATTTTAAATTGCTACATATGTTTATGAAACATAGTATCCAGCTACCTTATAATTATTTTGTGTAGCTAGATGTTTTTCTTGTAAAATTTTTTAAGCAAAGTTCTAAGTTTTATATTTAGTCACTGGCTAAAATGTATACTAGTTTCTAAGTTTTCTTGTTTGTTTCATTTTGGTAATCATGGTCCTGCCAATGCTGCAGACCAACGCAGTCAACAATGTATTTTTTAAATATCGCATAGCTATACTTACCAAATATGTTGTTTTTATCATTAATGAGATTGTAATTGCAAAGAATATGCATTATATTACAAAATACAATTTAGTAAAAATTTTTATATTACTTAACCAATTCATTATCACTAAGTTATGGCATTGGAGAGAAACTTTTGCAAAAATATAATTTAATTTATTTATTGGAATATGAAATATCATAGGGAGTCGACAGAATGTAACTAATAAGTTGCTGGTTGATTAAACATTCGCCTAAAATTTTAGTTATTTTGTGGAAATACCAATAATTTATCACCATGGCTAATTATCATTAATTCCATTTATAAAAATTTAAATGATCTGTTCTCTTACCATGTTTTTTTTTGTTTTTTGACTAACTGCGCTCTGGTGATCGCATATCTCTTTTGCTCTTTTCTTCAATATTTAACAAGCTTAAGTGTCTGTATGTGTATAAATTTAAACACCTTACTTATAATATGCATGCATGTACTGATGTGTTATATATATATAGTATATATTTGTATATATAGTTATTTATGCAGATACATATAAATATCTGATGTGATACTTTAGGTTTAAGTATAGTATATATAAATTTATAGTTTTCAGGCTTATGTAACTAATTTACTAAGTAAAATGTTTTACGTATTTAAGTTATCATCTTTTGTTTAGTATTTGTGTTATTCCTTTTCTGTCGAGCATAATCCCATTGACCATTGACCACATATTATTGTGGCATATACATATTAGCCATATATGCAACAACTGCTCTCCCATAGGCTATGTTTGCGTTCGCTATTAATGCTTTTGTGTTTACGAATTTACGAAGTAACTTTACTTACAGCCTTGAGCAAATCATGATTGCTCTTTTCGAGCGCACTCATCATGCCTAAATTACCGCCGATACCACCGCTAACGCCCACTCCCACTCCCACTCCCGAACCAACACCCATTCCCAAACCTAATTTAAGATCATTCTGACCAATGACGGAGTGATGCAAATGCCCTGGATTGTGTGCAATGATCGAATGATGATCCTGTTGCTGTTGCTGGTGCTGTTGTTGTTGTTGCTGCTGTTGCTGTTGCTGTTGTTGCACCTGTTTGTTAACATTTTGCTGGGCGGATTTCATGGACTCTTGAGCTTTCATTTTTTCTTGCTCTTCGCGGTCGCGACGAGCCTGTAAAATAACATAAATTCAAATTTATTTTGTATAATATAGTATAGAAAGGGCACACGAGGAATGTAAAAAGAAGAAATTAAAATATAGTATATATTTTTTTGTCATATTACTATTATAATTCTGGTCCATTCTTAAAATTTTTAATTGGTGATAATATTTTAAGCTAAGCTAAAATTCTTATTAATTTCTTAATATAATTATTTACTATTTTACATGTTAAATTTATTATACAATTTTCTATGATTATGTTTTATGGTAATTAAATTACCATACTCACCTGTTCGTTGATTTCTTTTACGGCACGTAGTTCCTTCTTCAATTTCATGCGTCGATTCTGAAACCATATTTTTATCTGACGCTCAGTAAGACAAAGTGCATGGGCGATTTCAATTCGTCGTCGGCGGGTTAGATAGTGATTAAAATGGAATTCCTTCTCCAACTCAAGTGTTTGAAATCGTGTATATGTTTGACGACCACGACGACGTGGACAACCATTCGGACCTAAAATTTACGCAATGAATATAAATTACTGAAAGATGCAAAATTTGTTATATGCACAAATTTTATTACATCTACTTCATATTTCTCTGAAAACTATACATTTTATTTAACTTTACATAAATAATATTTTCTTTTAGATTTATTTTTGTATCACTTGTTTTTAAGCTTATTCATAGTGATACAAGCAGAAATATATTAATAACATTTTAATAGGTGCCTCTTCCACGAGTTTTGCTAAAGTTTTTGTTTCACATTTTTCATGAAACTGTTGTCAATTTGTAAGCTATTAATTATTACTATTCTCTTGTTAAACTAATATTTTAAATTTCAAATCCAGTAGGTGCTTTAGTTTAATGTAATGTTAATTATTTTGCTAAGTGAATACTAAAGTACGAAATTCGTGCATATCTGGTTATAGTTAGAGTGTGAGATGCTTTCCTTTAGGGTCGTTTACTTGCATACTACAATTTCTAAACATCAACAAATGTTAAACGCTTTTCCAATATTCTTTAAACTTTGAAATTAAAAAAGAATATATAGTAGCTAGCATTTGTGGTAATTTTTTAGAGGACTGGTGACACATTTAAAACTTTCTTACGGATTTTTGGTTTTGTAAGACACAACTTAAACAGTTGCATTAGACATTTCATATGAACCTCCTAACTCCTTCAACAAATATGCCATGAAATGAGCCATTGCTATGGTAAGTAACTATTTTTTTAACTTTTTTTTCATCAATCCAACACGTTCAGAGAGTTTCCGTTTACATTTTTGGTAAACTTTCTACTTAACTGTTGCTATTGGCGTAGCTAAAGGGTAACAACCCTAGCATTCTGCTCAGCAGGTCTTTGCCAACCATGGTCTAGCTATTCGGGTGTTGTTTGTTTGTTTTGCTGATGTACTGCTGTGCTTCAGYTTGTAGATCTCATTTGTTTCGAATGCGCTGTGAATCTTTCTGAACAGTGAGTGTATTCTACAGCTTAATGCGTCAAGTAGGGCGACCACCTGCTTTGCTTCTTTATTTTTTTGTTCTTGTATTTATGGTTGGACATATTTGAGTATTTTCAGTTTTTTCACATTTTTTACTTTTTTACCTCTTACTGCTTTCAATTATGCACGCTACCTGTGCGAATTTTTTACCGAGTTAGTGCACTTATTGTTTAGCCGTTGACATTTCACGTCGGTTTATACCTTAAGCAGATGAGCGGTATGCCGCGATGTACGCGCAGTTCACTGTTTATGTTTAGGAAATCAAAATATTTTTATGTACAAATTGTTTTGTATTTCGCTGGTAGAAGTTGCTTCAAATCTCACTTTTTACTTGCGTCTGCATTTTTTTACATTCCAGGTAAGCATCCCTATGCCTTCATTTGTTTTTCCCCGAAAAGACGATGTGTGCGTACCTTCATGCTTTAAATATTTAAGGATTTTTGTTTGTTTGGATTCAAGTCTTTTCCGGGCAGTGAAAAGTAAAACAGAAGTTTTAAAGAGTATGATTTTACTGTGAACGTAATGTATATAATATTCACATGGATTTAAAAACAGGCAAAATTTCATTTCAGTCCACTTAGCTAAAACCCTTTAAAGACAATGGCGATTTGTGGATTGACAGGCGCTATAAAGGGACCATATAAAACAAGTTAAAACTGTGGGTTTTTTTGCACAATTAGCCGAATTATAAACAAATGTATTCACTTAAACGAGGCAAATGTCTTATATTTTTTAATATAAATATATAAAGTACAAATCGCCTTTATAGATATTSCACAATTTAGAAGCAACTCAAAGTCGTGAAAGATTTACCACATATATGGTGTTATAAAAATATTTAAGTTATACGAAAAATCACCTTTAGCTTATAATTTTGAAACATAATTATTGTGAAAAAGTCATCGCAATGGCTATACAAAGGATTTTGGTTGTTTGATTGGATTGGAGCAAAACTGACGAAGTAATGAGTACTCTTATATTTCAGATTCCCAAATTTGAAATATTTTCATCTCAATTCACGTATTCAAAGTTTAATGCTCGTCGCTTTGAAATTGAATGCTATTTATATACATGATACACGAGGTAACGTCAGCGAGTTAAAACTTGTTAATAATTCTTATTTCGCAATAACAAATAAGTTCGTTTCTTAGCGTATTCCTCAAAGCTTTCCAAAAAAATTAAAAATTTAATATACGAGGCAACTTCATATTTCTTCCAAAAAATTTACAAAGCACTTGTCATACTTTAATAAGAATATTTTGTAGAGACTTGAGTTCAGGTGCTTTTAGAATCCAATCATTATGAACTATTTATCCAGTAGTGAGTCATAAGTGTACAATATGTTAGAAACAGTTTTTTTAAGAAAAAAAAATCTGTTTATGAAGTATTATAATGAAATGCCTATAAATTACTGCATATATGTTTTTTGCAGAAGTTAAATTTAAAAATTTACTTGTTTACTGATTTATTTAAACCATAACGGTTAATTAAGTAATATATGTATGTATGTACGTAATAAAATCGTAAGTACATATATTTGTTTAAATATACTTCGTATGTATTTGTATTTATAATAATCCATTATCTCGACAAACTGCATGCAGACAACTATAAAAATTAACAAATGTAATTTTGCTTTTTTCTATCATACATACAATTATTTCATGATGTAAATGCTTCAGAGAAATAATACGGTTGATTTCTATCAGAGAGGGAGTAAGGCGGACACGATTAAAATCACAACAATTATGTACATACGTGAAAAAGAGATAGGCCACTGCACTGGAAAGTATGCAGGGTAGTACCAGAGCAAACAAAATTAGATGACTAAATAATAGTGGAGGGCCACATGAATTTACCGTGACTATGAAGGTAAGAGCTGAGCAGCGGCAATGGAATCCAATATGGCTGCTCTATCGATATTGGTTAGCGGTCAGGTAGAGACAACAATGGTGTACTGTTGTCATGACAACAAATGAATGCTCATTGGGAGGTGCAAAGCGCTCTTTTCCATCTTCTGTTTAGTCATGCGCTGTGCTCTCCATGAATATTAAAGTGTTGAGTATAGCAGCTATGGTGAGTTGTAAAATTCAATTTATATATATGTATGTATAGTAATGTGTTGCCTGCTTTTGGGTTCGAGTCTCGAAGTTCTTCGATAAAATGTTAAAATTGCTTAAATTTCAGAACTGCTTGATGCCGTTGCAATCAGCCATTACAAAAATATTTCATTATCTTCAATTTTTTTTTTTGTTGAAATTTTCAATTAGTTCAAATCGTTTAGTCTATATAATAATAATTTACAATTATATTAAAAATTGTTAACTAACGACCAAATTAATTGTGTTCGATAGCTGATTGTTGTAGTTAAACATAAAAAGAATGATTTGATTTCTTTTCAACAAAAAAAAAAAAAATACTCCAAATTGTAAATAACCCATAAAAAGAAGTACGGACCGACGAACACACCAGGCCAAAAACCACACCAAACTGCCAACTTAGGTGAATGTAATGGTTGTTCATGAAAAATTCTAAATTTTATTTGCACCAGAATCAGCAGTTTTGTTTATTTACCACACCACTCAGATAAAAGGAAGCCTCATCGGAGGAAATGATTTTATTAAAAAAAAATGTTACCTATTCCAAATTCCTAGGCAAGGTCAGGAAATTAACGACGTTGACGGCGGTTCACTGATTTCAGTTCCGGAGCGAGAACAATTTTAAAGATCTGCTAGCCCAGAACCTTTCTCTAAGTCCCAGTTCCTCAAAATGTCTTGAAATAGGTAAATCGAGGTTTTCAACAACACTAGCCTGAAAGGCAGCAATATTTTCCGTACTTGTAGTGCCGACGTCCATGCCTTTATTCCATATAGCAGGATGGTAAKAATGAGTGACTTATACCGTTTGGTTTTTGTTTGTCGAGAGAGGACTTAACTTCTCAATTGCTACTCAGTTCGAAGTAACACCTCTTAACAGGACTTATTCTGTGTTGGATTTCGAGGCAGAGGTCGTTGTTGGTTTTGATTCTGGTTTCAAATCGACGAAATCGAATTCACCAACTGCTGGTGTTATGCTTCCACTGCCATTCAGAAGGTGTTCCCTGCATAATTTTAGCACTTGAACATTACGGAAAGAAATTGTACGCTCCAAATTTTCAACAATTCGACGAATAGCGAGCACAGGTAGATGATTATTATGACAACAAAGTGCACGAAAAGTTCTACTTTGAAAACGATTTTTCGGATATTCTGGATCAATCAACTTTAAATCGTGAAATATTTTTTGAAAGTCTATCGATGAACATTCAACCTTTGAGTGTGTAATGAAAATATTATTTATTTTTATTTATGGAATACTTCGAAAATCTTCTCCAATCCATTAATTATATATACGAAGGAGGTAACAAACCAGAATCCGCAATCGTTTAAAAATTTTAAAATCAACTTATTTACTCAATTCCATATCAGTTTTCCACATTGCGCGGTCTGATAACCATGGGCACAAATCAAATCGTTTGAGATTGTTTCTATAAAGTTTTCGGATGACTGAATATTGTTTTAAACAATTGACCATTAAAAATTTAAAATATTAAAATACCTCTGTATAAAAACCTTTTATTACTTAAGCTTAATCATGCATTAAACTTACAAATGTCCACTTCTAAGCTATTTATAATTACATTACTATTTTTATACAGAATTTGCAAGAATGTATAATTTTATTTAGTTTTATTACTTTTGACTGAGAAAATACACTAAGCCATATAAAACCTTGTACTTATAATTGTTTTACTTTTGTACCTTCAGTGCTGTGATTTTCTGACTTTTTATTAGCATACTTAAAATCAACCAACTGTTCAATATTTAACGATCCGAAGGTAAAAATAACGTTTAAGAGGCAAATAAAGAAGTATTTAAACAAAAAACTTTGATATATTCGTTTTAGGCTGACTAAAGTGTTCAAGAAACATTAAAAATTTGCGCATTTGTAATTTTTATACTCTCGCAACA